CTCAAGCGGGGGGGGGGGTCTGGGCTCCAAGCAAGAATTTTTTTTATGGGTTACTATGTGCAGTGTAATTGGTAAGTGCTGGGCCACCTGTGCAATTGGTACCTTCCTGAGTACATGCATGCAGGAAGGGTTTTTTTTTCAGGGGGCGGAGCTTTTTTTAACCCGGCAGAAGCACTGAAGAGAAGGCAGGAGCGGAGCACAGCTGTAGGCAGGCAAAGGTATATTTTGTTTCCAGCAGACATCTCGGGAGGGGAGTTGTTGGTGGTGTTAGAGACAGAGAAACCGAGGGGGCAGGGGGGAGAAGCAGGAGAGAGACACCGACTGACTCTGGGGGCGGAGGAGGAGAGAGGCACTGAAGGTCGCTGGGGGGAGATGGGGGAAGGAGGAGAGAGACACCGACCAACCCTGGGGGGTGGGGAAGGAGGAAAGAGACACCATATCTGGGGAAGAGGGGGAGAAAGGGACACTGACCAACACTCTGGAAGCTTAGAGTGAAGTCCCTAACCTTCTGACTACATCCCTTGGAATGTTGAGTATCCCAAATATCGCGAGTAGACACTTGAACACAGTGCAGGAGCATTTTCTTGCTAAACTCAACATTTCCTAGGATCTTGCTGAAAGTATCCTGATGTCACCCTCACCTAGGCACTGTGCGTGAAAGCTGGGAAAAAGGCAAAGTATATTTACTAAATTCTCCAGAAGCCTAACACTCCATTCACATATTGTGTTCAATATGTGGCAATGGCAACGCAAACGCTGAAATCTTTAATCCGTACGGATTCCGCTAGCTTGCGTATAGTATATAGCCGCGTACGCGAGGAATCCGTCCAAAAATTTGCACTTGGACTATTTTGCGCAAAAGTCTGAACAATGCACATTAAAGTGCATTGTTTTTTTTTCTGTTTAGAGCGTCTCCGTGTGTATTCGGCCGGCCGAATAAGCCCAGACAACCGTTCCTGTGTGAATGGAGCCTTAGATCAGGGTGTACCACTGCTCCCAGTAACCATATTTGACTCAGATTTAGAATCCCAACAGTCTTTTTCAAAAGAGACTTCTTTGAGGCACCTCAGTCTACTGTTGTCACTCCAGAGTTACAGGGGATTGTGTCGCACTTTATTGATGGAGTGCGTGTTACCCTGCATTTAGATGATCATCCTGCTGTCTCCAGTATTGGGTCTCTTACTGCTGCAAAGACCTTCCCTTTGCCCCCCTGTTATTTGAGAAATTCCTCTATGCCATCTGGAAACACCCTGAGCGGTCCTGGGCCCCACCTGAGAGTGTGAGAGTGTGCTGGAAATGTTACCAGTATACCACGTAAATTTGAGCACCACTATTCAGATGGAAGGCGTGCTCAGCTTTAAAGATTCTACTGGCAGGCAGTGATGATCCCTCCTCAAATCCCAGTTCGAACCAGTTAATTCTGCCCTGTGTGGGGAGTGACCTTAATCTGTCAGAGTACGTGACTTCCCTCCAAAAGGATCTCTCCTCAGCTGGGGTGTATGCCCATTTCAGAGAACGGGCAGAGCAAATGTCTAGAGCGTTATGCTTCAGTTGTTATTGCTTGCAACAGGCATCAAAACCTATACCCTGCATGGATCTGATGTCCATACAGATACACGGGGCACTATGGTTGCACTGCTGCAATGCCGATGGCATATCAAAATCTAACTTGTTTGGCCTTAGATGGGCGTCGCCTTTTTTGGCCCTGCACTGCACACTGTGATCAGTAATGTCATGGGAGGCCAGAGTGTTTTCCTGCCCCAACGCAGCATTTCAAGGGAGAGCAGCTGAAACCCACCCTTCTCCTTCATTCACTTCTTCAGTAGGTGTCCCCAGGCTCTCTGAGCCTGACTCTCATTCAACCTGTAGGACTCAAATTTAGATGTAAAATAATCCCCCTGCATGAGGAAGCACCTCCACTTCTACAAGTGAGGGACTATTTGTGCATCCAGGTGAAGCTTTGTGCATCTTCCCTCTCCGGCACTTAGGGCAGGAAGACCCCCCTTTTAGCTCACAGGCTGATCCCTTGCTGCTGGTGACTCCTTCATTTGCTTCTTTATAATTCCCCCTGTGCTATTGCACAGAAACCCTATCCTTCATAATGCTGGGTACGTGCAGAGCTAATTTTGGCCGATTTAGCAGTAATTGGCTGAAATTCATTCCGTCAATCATTAGAGCAACTTTTTCCAAACGGACATGCGGGAAAATAATCTGCCAAACAGTGCTTGCAGCCAGTCAGCTGCACGCACTGTTTGGGTATTCTGACAGCGGCTCCTGGTGGGTTGTCTGTTTTTTGTGACAGTCTTAACTACTTCCAGAGGTATCGGTGGACTATTTGTATACTGTTAAAGGACTTTGTGCAACTGTGGTTAATGATTCAGTGCAGGGTGTTAAACCAGTCCAAGGCAGCCATCGGGGAATCATATTATTTTGTGGCATTCACATATTGGACCCTCAGTTTGCTGTGGTAACACATACTGATCTCTTTGTCATGGAGTCATTGTTTATTCTCCACAACAGATCACCACACCTGCTGTATCTGCAGAGAGAAATTGTGAACTGGTGCAGGGCGTTCTCCTTTTTGGAGTGGGTTCTTCTTTCTGGCTTCCAGCAGAATTAGGTCATGCTTTTTGTAGTTCCAAAATCTGACCAGCTGACCAGGAAGGGTCTAGACGGGGCACTCAGGGATCTACCTTCTCCAGGGATCCCTGTGTGTGCTATCCACAATGTAAGCCTAGAACACCTTTTGGAGATTTAGAAGTTTGGTTGAAAAAAGGTCTCCACAAACATGGCTGGGTAATATATTTTCAGCATCCTCTTAGTGAATGACTTGGAGTGTCTCTGCTTTCAGAAAATGTACAACGTTGTCATTTCAGTGTGTGTGTGTGCATGAAATGAAAAACAATTACTCTGGCATTAAAAAGGTTAAAAGCTTACAAAATGTGTCAGAGAGTTACTGGATAGCAAAATACGCAGAACCCATATTGCATGCGTTGTGGATATTCCAAATAAAAAGGAGAGGAACTGTGTGTTACTCAGAAAAGGGAAGTTTTGTAATTCTGTAATCTTCAACACCTTAGAGAATATAGCTTTAAAAAGTAAAAAATACAGATAAAGGGAGTAGTAGTCTATTCCAATAGATTTATGGCATGTCTAGGTAAATGACGGTATAACCTATTATGTGATGAACAGTTATCCTTTGTAATGCTCCTGTACGGGATGTTTTCTGCCAGAAAAGGTTACGCAATCTATTAACACTTCTGTTCTTGGTTCCTCTCTAAATATTTATCTGTTCAAGTATATTACAATATACTAAATATAAAAATCCATAAATCTGTGATGTATTATTGGCAGAAACATTGTGTATAGATGGAGGTAATTAAAGCAATACCTGTTCAAGAAGTATCAAGTGAAAATGACTTCCTGTTCTTGTGCAGTGAAAATGAACAGATGCAGCATTACTGCCAGTAGTATCACTGCCCAAGAGTCAATGGGTTACAGCATCCATCCAAGGCTACTCACACAGGTGTTTTCCTTCTGACATGTTCTGTTTAAATTATGTGTTTAAAGGCATTGCAACTACTGTCTAGCCTATAGCTGGAAATTGGTTATAAATGGCTTCCTAGCGCTTACAAAAAACAAGTACCACACATAAAGTTTTGGCTAAATGTGCTAAGCATGGCACTGGCTTGGTTTAGAGCAACTTCAAAAATGAACAGCACATTTTAGTTTATTATGTGGTAATATTAAAGTGAAGCTGTGCACACAAAACTATTTACATATTCTCAACAGACAGTAAAAGCATGTTAAATTTAAGTCTTCATTCACTTCTGTAGCTTTAGGGATTGTGGAGAAATTATTTTCCTGGCTACATTTACACTATATGCAGTGACCTGTGCTTTTCTTCATAAGAAAAATACAGGTCACCGCCATAGCACATAGAAAATAATTGTTTTTTTTATATGCCCCGTTCACATCATAATGCTGAGGAAAAATACAGACATGATGCATTATTCCAAAGCACACTGGATGGTAACAGAGGTCTAACCACCCTATCCCCATGGCACATGCTTCTAAGATGTTTTCTAAAACTGGAACTGCACTTAAGAGTCTCTGTCGTGTAAGGATCTTTAGCAAACAATTACTTCAGAGTACAAGTAGCTAGGGAGAGGTGATTAAGGGCTTGTTTCAAAGGTTTTTTTTTTTGCTTGTTTAACATCCTTGCCTGTAGGAGGGATGAACGCACCAACCATACTCCCAATGTCTTTAATGGTGCTGTTACTAGCCATAGGCAAAAACCACAGAGCCAGTCAAGAGTGATTCTGTACCTTGTGATCACTGTGAACCAATCAAAGTGATCACAATTGTAAACAATGGCTGTGTTTACAAACCTCCAGCCTCTCCTTCCTCTAACTGTGGCCAATCAGAGGTGCACTTTATTGGTGCAACACTTGCACACCCTCTTCAAGTCTCCATAACACCTGGATAAAGTATGTTGTTGGCATCTAGTATTTTTATGTACACTCTAAATCTGTGTCTTTTGTTATAGGTAACTTTCTAGATGATGATCTTCCAAAGGCCGATCTGTACATCTTATCAAGAGTCTTACATGATTTACCTGAGGATAAATTACACCATCTTTTGGGGAAGGTATCAGAAGCTTGTAAGCCAGGTAAAAAAATAATTCCTGAAAACACGGTTTATATTGTAAAACATTTTGTTGTATATTTTATTTTATTTATTTTTTCCTTTTTAGGCACCAGTGCTCTGCTTATTGCTGAAATTGTCTTAGATGAAGAAAAGAGGGAGCCTAGAGCACTATTACAGTCTTTGAGCATGAGTGAAGGAAATCAGAGAAGTGGCACAGAATATAAAAAACTTTTAGAAAGTCATGGATTTAATAGTGTAAAAATTAAAAATACTGGCAACCTGTTGGATGCAATTCTAGCTGTAAAAAGATAGTTTTTTTGAAGTTCACACGAAAGGATGATTATGCATATATTGCAAAAACGGGGGGAAAAGGAGTAACGCTAAGAAAAGAAAAAATATATATAAATAAATATAATTATGGGCAGAGCTCCAGGGTTTCAGAAAAATTTATTCAAACAGCGCAAACCCTGTTGCGCTGTTTGAATACAGATTATGCATATATATTTCTTGAGCCTCACCACCTCCCATGCCCTTTTGATGAAGCTGTCTACCTTAAAAACCTGCAGTGAGATAGATTTCCCAGTAGATTCCATAGATAAAAGGAACGCACAATACTGTGCTACCCATTAGCTCAGTAGAAGATGGAAGTTCCACCTGACCCTTGGACAAGATTGTCTGCTGACCTGAGGCCTGAAAATGGGGGCTATAGATTGTATGTGGTGGGGGCAGTTGGGCTTAAAGATTATCCTTTTAAAAATACACTGTTGCCTTTTTGTTCAGAGCATAGTGATTATGCCTCCTCATAACCCACCACCTTACACAGAAAAGTATATTTACCAGTCAACATTCACTCGCCACCTCCTCATTGCAGAGTTCACCTTGGGTAAGCAGGTGTCATTGCTTTCCAAGGTGAATCATGTCACTATCCCATCCACTTCCTATTTTGAAGGCCACTCCATTAGACAGTGAGGGCTTAACAGAGTAGGTAAGCAGCGAAGGCGTGGCGGGAAGGTGAGCATAATTTGCTAGGGGTATGACACCAGGAGTCAATGTCACTGTGCTCTGCACTGGCAAAATGCAGAGTCCCTGTTTTGTGCAAAAAAACAAAAGACAGCACCGTTTGATGCAAATATCCTCAGGATACATTTAATAGTTTTCATCTTAAAGAAAAATTGTTGGGTTTTTTTTCTTTTTTTTTTAAATCAAACTCTCAAAAATAAAGTGTTGAAAAGAAAACCATACTCCTCTTGTTACTCTTTTGTTGGTTTACCACTTTTAAAACATCCCACAGTAGTACTACTGGAATCCCACACTCAATGTTGCAATGTTGTTTGAACATGCCAGTGTTCTCCCCAACCTCTATTATCAGTTTCAGTTGGAATTACTCTGGGGCTTCTGTTTTATATCAGTTTAGTTAGATTGAAAAAGCAATTGAATTTTAGGTTAAACAGGTTCTTAAAGAACTACTCAACCCTATCTGAAGAAGTATTCTTATAAAGAAAAATGGATGTCTTGCACTCACCACTGGTTTCAGTTCCTTATTAGATCTAATAAATACCCCACACATACAAGATGAAATCCACAATCACCCATTTACTCGCTTGTCACAAATTTTAGGCAGTGGAATTCCTACCCATTTTAGACCTCTGATTTCAAAGCGTATATAAACTCAAGAACAAAAATGTAATATATTACACCTTACAGTAGATGTTGTTGCTGCATTAGTTTCCTTTCTTTTTCTTTTAGGCTTTTTTCCTGTCCTAGGAGGAAAATACTTATGCACCATACTGCAGCTAAAGAAATGCAGTATTTGCACTCTAGGATAGTACTACAAAATACTTCAGTCACTTTCTTCTGCATACCACGGGGGTGAGGGAGGAGGGGTTCTGCAGTCATCCGAAATAGCCAGGAACAATGTAACTGATAAGGGTTGAGCACAGGAAGTGATCAGCTCACAAGATGAAAAGGTATTTTTCTTTATAGTTCATTGCTAGTGTCCTAGGACAATGGACACCTTTTTCTCTTCAATCAAGATTCTCTGGTACACTGCAGAGGTGGGCATGTTGTGCAACATTCTGCGTCAGCTAATTCTCTTGAAGGCCATTCCTAGACCCTTGCTTGTGAAGTAACCCTCTGGGCATTGCTTGTGGTGCTCCCCAGACACCTAGTGTACTGGTTTGTTAGCTGAGAGTACTTTACAGGTCCAAGGGCTCTGACACAGGCTCTGGTGTAATCCAGTCACCTGTAGGGTGAATTAAGGGCTGGGGTGCAGAGTTTCTGGAATGTGTTATGTTCACTTGGTACTGCATATAGTACTCTGGTACTGTTCTTGTTTGGCGCAAATGTTTTCCAGGTTTACGACTATGGCGAGACGAGTCATGGGCTTTGTCCTATATGTGCAGGAAGCACTATTATTTTTTTCCTCCTGCAATGGTTCTTTCTGGAAAGGGTTAACATGCTGAGGAAATACAGTATGTGCTGCTCCACTAACGCACACGCACAATCCCTTTCAGCGTGAGGTAGTTTCCCCACCACTGCTCTCATTGTATAAGCATTTATTGAGTCGTCTCAAGTTGCAACATAGTATTTTTGATCCTAAGTGCACATTTCCAAGTCCTTGTTCTTCCTAGCAGGCCCTGCAGTTGTTTGAACATGGAATCCACCAGGTCAAGCATTGCTTCCCACTACCAGGGAGAATTTCTAGTTTCATAGATGCCTGCTTGCGTGTCCCCATCTTTCCAGCATATCTGCGCTACCTGAAATTTGCTTTGGGGACACAATACCAGTTTGTAGCCCTTCTGTATTCTTTGTCTTCCATGCCCCGAGTACGTACCAAGGTTCTAGCCCCAGTGTTAGCTTTGCTACGCTTTTAGGACATTCCTATTGTCGGATACCTGGATTACTTCCTGTTGAATGAACAGGCAGCACCAAATGTCAGTCAATGTCTGTTGGATTGTTCAGTTGCTAAAAAAATTCAGTTGGATCCTAAACCTTCAAAAGTCAAAGCTGGAACCAACTCATTGCTTGGAGTATCTGGGTCTTATTCTGAATACTTCTCATTCCAGAGTTTTTCTTCACAAGACACATTCCAGACACTCTGCTCCCTTATTTGGACTCTACAGCCCAGGAGCAGGTCAACTCTATGCTTTCGTACCAGAGTCTGGTCTGGTCTTTCTGGTAGCATCTTTTAAGGCATTCTTATTTGTCCATGTTCATGCTAGACCATTGCAACTCTGCATTCTGGTTGAGAGGGACAAGAAGGTGCAATCTCTGTACCAACCAACCAGTGATTTGATTGTCCCTTTAAGGCTGGTCCCCTCGCAGACCATGCTACAGCAGTGGCATGCATCATCCATCAGGGAGAAACCAGGAGTCTGGTCATGGAGAAGTTTTTTTTTTTTTGCATAACTTCACATTCCAGCCTTGTCCGCCATCCACATTCCAGGTGTGGACAATTGGCAGACAGACATTCACACTTTTTGTACTCTCTTCACCCAGAGGTTTTTCATGACTTTTGACACAGGTAGAGGACACTGGGTGTGGACCTCCCAGCCTCTAGGTGTAACAACAAACTGAACAGGTTTGTCTCCAGGTGCAGGGATCCATTGGCAGAAGGGACAACCTGCCTGTCCTCCTGAAACTCCTTCCTCATCTGCTTCACAGACAAAGATGGAAGGCATTCCAGCAACTCTCATCACACCAAACTGGCCCAGACGGGTGTGGCCTCTTCAATCTCCTGGCCAACTGATTGTGGGCTCCTCCAGATTGTCTAGATATGCTGCCCCAGGGTCTGGTTTACCACCCTGCTTCATTGTCACTGGCTTTCTTGGCATAGGCTTCAACAGCAAGTCCTAAGAGATATAGTCCTTTCTGATTCTGTAATCCCTACACTCCTAAAAGCTAGGAAACCCAAATCACTCAAGGTCTACCATTGCATATGGAAAGTTACTTTGCCTGGTGCAAGGTAAGAAACTTCCATACCAGGAAATAATTTGTCGCACAGATCATAACCTACAATCCAGTCTGGATTAACATTTTGGCCCCAAATACCATCAAGGGGCAAATCTGGGCTCTTGCAGTCTTGTTCCGAAGACCACTTGCCTCTCATTCCCTAGTAAAGGCCTTTTATACACCTGTACCTGCACAACCTCTGGTTTTACATCTGACCTTGATTCTGTGGGCTCTATAAAGACATACTTTTTTGAACATATTAGGGATATTCTACTGTCTCCTCTTACTCACAAGGTGACAATCTTCTTTACCCGCACCCAAAGTTATCAAACCCAGAGTGCTTGGACTCGAGACCTAGTTCATGCCTCTTCCAATCTGAGAGAACTGACTTCCATAAAGGAAGCATTGTTGGCCTTTCAGACTGGTCACGGATCAAGAAGTACAATCTTTTTTTCTGACAATTCTACCACAGTGATGCAATTGCATCACATGATCTTCTACCTTATTGCAAATGGCTCAAGAAATTGGGTTTGAGCGAAAGAGAATATCATCTCCATCCCAGGAGTTCACATAAGAGGAACATCGACTCCTCTTCAGTCAGAGTGAAAATCCCCACAGCAACTGGGAACTCATTCAGGAAGTTTCTTCTGCAGATTGCAAACAAGTGGAGCATGCCGTAGATTTGTTTGCAAAATGAACAAAATGGTAAAGCATTTATTTTCACAAGCAAAAGATTCTTGGGGAATAGAAGACCTATTCCAAAATTGAGATTTTAGCCTGGGTTATGCTTTTCATTCTTCTTTGTTGATTCCTTGAATGCTTCAGAAACTAAGTCTGTCCAAGTGGAAGCTCATATTGATTGCTCTTTGGTGGCCCACAAAAACTTTTCAGATCTTCCGAGAATATTGATTCAATCTCCTTGGCCTCTGCCAGTCAGGCCGGATCTTCTTCTTTAAGAAACAGTAGTCAATGCCAGACCAGAATTCTTGCAGTTGACAGCCTGGATCTTGAGCAGCAAGATCAAGTAGAAAATGTACACTAAGGTTTAAAACGTTTTTTTAACCGAAGTGTAAAAGGAATAGTCTCGCCCTTCCTCCGGTACCAACTGTTCTAGACTTTCTTGAAATTAGAGTGGAACAAGGCCTTGCACACTTATGTTCAGATTTTGTGGTCTTGCCGTTATTTTTACTGGTATTTAAATAGTGGGGTTAATTTATGCTGTGCTGTACTAGTTATTCACACTACGGTAATTTCAGGCAGGAGCCAATCAACCTACCTGCATGCGTTTGTACTATGAGAGAAAACCCAAGCAAGCACAGAGAGAACATGCAGTCTCCATGGACACCATGGGGTTGATTTACTAACCTTATAAACACGCCACGAACAAGTATACAC